TATATATATACGAAGAGAGAAAAATTAGGAACATGTTGCAAGTAATATAATTAAATTAAATTGGATTAAATTAAACTAAATTAAATTAAGCTAAATTAAATTAAATATTATCTTTAAAATATATTTTACATTTGCCTCTCTGAAAGGGAGAAGAAAACAGCGAAATAATACAAAAAAAATCCGAAGACAGCAGACAATGATGGCTGCATGCGGTAAGCGGAAAATAAAAGAGAAAAGATAACTTAAAAAATAAACAAATAAAATAAAATAAAATAAAATGATAGAGAAGAAGAAATGAAAGAAATAATACAAACATGATAACAAAACAAGAAGAAAATATAACAAAAAAAGATAAATAAAACAAATAAAATAAATAAAACAATCTAAGAGTTTTTGAAAGACATGCAAACAAACAGAGACCGAAAGACGCCTTCAAAGACAAACAAAAAAAATATTAATAAATAGACAAAAAAATATTAATGCAAAGGCAATAAAAGATTAATACAACGACAATAAAATATTAATGCAAAGACAAACAAACAAAAACGAAGACAAACAAATATTAACGTAAAGACAAACAAATGAAGAAAAAGATAAACAAATAAACAAATACAGCAAAACAAAAACGCAAGCGAATAAGCGGCCCGGAGGCAAATAAATAAATATATAAATTAACTAATTTAAAAATAAATAAATAAATAATACAGTCGTCATAATTAATCTTTATTATATTTATACGTTTCTTATTCAGGTGAAGTAAAATATATAAATTTAAAAAAAGAAAAAACAGAGACAGAGACAAATTGTGCAGACAGCAGCGGCAAACAAACAAACAAAATTTTAACAACATCCGCACATCCCCTGGCTCCTCTTGCTGCTGCTGCAGCAGCAGCAGCAGCAGCAACAGCGACAGCAGCACCAGCAGTAGCAGAACCAGCAGTAGGAGAAGCAACTGCACCTGCTGCTGCAGCAGCAGCAACAACAGCTGCAGCACCTGCTGCAGCAGCAACAGCAGCAATAGAGGCAACAATCGCAGCAGCAGCACCTGCTGCAGCAACACCTGCTGCAGCAACACCTGCTGCAGCAACACCTGCTGCAGCAGCAACTGCAGCAACGGAAACTGAGGCAGAATTAACTGCAGCTGCAGCAACGGCGGCAGAGCCTGGTGCAGCAGCACCTGTTGTAGCAGCAACTGCAGCAGCAGCAGCTGCTGCAGCAGCATCTGAATCCGTAATAAACGTCAACGCAGAAACCGTAGCTCAAGAATCAACGGACGATGCAGCACAAGGGACAGCAGCAGGAACAGCAGAGGAGGCTGCTGCAGCAGAAGCAGCAGCAGCAGCAGCTGTTGCTGCAACGGAAGCAGCAGCAGCACCTGAAAGATGGTTTGCAGACACCATAGAAGGAGACAGGGGAGAACCCCGGGAGCAGCAGCAGCAGCAACATCAGCATCAGCAGCAACAGCAGCAGCAGCAGCAGCAGGAAGCGAAGGAGCAGACTTAGGTGTTTCTGCTGTTATGTTTGAGAGAGCAGACATCACCAAAACAAATATTTTATGTTTCAACGATTTATTATTTTATCTGCAAGCACAGCAGCAACATCAGCAGCAGCAGCAGCAGCAACATCAGCATCAGCAGCAACAGCAGCAGCAGCAGCAGCAGGAAGCGAAGGAGCAGACTTAGGTGTTTCTGCTGTTATGTTTGAGAGAGCAGACATCACCAAAACAAATATTTTATGTTTCAACGATTTATTATTTTATCTGCAAGCACTGCCGGCTAAAGACGAAGTTAAAGCTGCTGCGCTGCTCTCCGGGGAAGCCGCTGCATCTCCTCCTTGTAAATGCTTCTTAATAAATTAATTAATTAATTAATTAATTAATTTATTTATTTATTTATTTATTTATAAGTAATTGATTAATTAATTAATTAATTAATTAATTTATTTATTTATAAGTAATTGATTAATTAATTAATAATTTACGAAATAAGTAAATAAATAAATCGCTATATTAATCGGCAAACAGTTAAATATATAACTTGTTAAATAAATAAATTAACAACTTAATAAATAATTTTTTCTATTCGGATAAAAATAAATACTTATATTAATAAAAAAGAAAAAATATAAATATAAATTTTATCAGTTAAAAATGATAAAAAAAATAAATATGAAATACTTTATCAACAAAAATACATAAAACAAAT